ACCGGTATTGGGACACAGCACAGGGACACCGGTACAGGGACATGGCACCGGGACACTGGCACCAGGACACCGGTATGGGGATACCAGCAGCAGGACATGGCACACGTGGGTGGCACCGGGACACAGCACCAGGACACAGCATGGGGTCACTGGCACTGGGACACCGGTACAGGGACACTGGCACACGTGGGGATGGCACCCGGACATGGCACAGGGACAGCGGGACAGGGATACCAGCACGGGGACACGGCACACGTGGGGGTGGTACCGGGACATGGCAACGGGGATACCGGCACCGGGACACCGGGAGCCCAGCCCCAAACCCGGCCTGATTCTCCCGGTACCGCCTGGCGATCCTTGCCAGACTTAACGGGCCCAGTGCTCCCAGTTCATCCCAGTCCCTTCCCAGTTCATCCCAGTCCCACTCCCGGTGCTCCCAGTTTATCCCATCCCATGCCCGGTGCTCCCAGTCCCATTCCCGGGGCTCCCGGTCCCACTCCCGGTGCTCCCAGTTCATCCCAGTGCCACTCCCGGTGCTCCCAGTCCCACTCCCGGTGCTCCCAGTTCATCGCAGTCCCACTCCCGGTGCTCCCAGTTCATCCCAGTCCATTCCCGGTGCTCCAGCCCCACCTCTCCGTTCTCCGCCGCGCCTCCTCCCGCTCCCGCTGCTCCAGCCGGGCCTCCACCTCCCGGAGCGGCGGGTCCCACTCGCGCTCCTCCGCCTCCGCCTCCCGCAGCTGCTCCGGGCTCGGCCAGAGCCGCTCCGCCGCCACCCCCGACGCCTCCCCGAGCCGCCCGAACCGCCGCGCGGCCGCCCGCAGGTCTCCGGGATCGGCAGGGGCCGGGCCCGGGCGGCGGCGCGGCGGATCCGCCCGGTAGGGCCGCGCCGGGACCGGAACCGTCACCGGGAGCCGGGCCCGGGCCGGGCCCAGCGCCAGCAGCGCCCGCCGCAAGGGCGCCGCCATCTTGGGCGCGCGCCGGAAGTGACGTCAGGCGGCCGAAGGCGCGGGGATCCCGTGGGGGCGGGGCCAGTTCTGGGGCGTGTCAGTGGGCGTGGCCATATGGCTGGGGGCGGAGCCAGGGCGATGGTCCCGGGGAGTCCCGGCGGGTCCCGGGGAGTCCCGGGGGGTCCCGGAGGGTCCCGGGGGGTCCCGGGGGGTCCCGGGGCCTTCCGGGAGCGGCTCAGCCCCGGGGGAGTTCAGGGGACCCCGAGGGGGGCCGGGGGGGGTCTCGGAGAGCAGCGTCCGGGGGGGCTCGGTGGGACCGGGGAGCACCGGGGGCTCGTCCCGGGGGTCCCGGCAGGGTTTGGGGGACCCCCGCGGGGGAATGCGGCTCCTCCGGGGCGCAGCTGCCGCCCCGGAACGGC